CCTCAAGAAACTTAGGAAAGGACTCAGGGAAGGTATCGACATGGGGAAGGATATGATTCGTGCTCACACAAAGCTGTCCGGGTGCGAACTCGATATACCTACTGAACCCGACTGTTACACTCTAGTTTATGATGATGACAGGGAAGAGGCTGAGCTTGAGGCTCCCAATGATGATGATGATGAAATGGAGATTTATTACCAGTCAACTGGAGTTCTCACAACCGACGGCCGTTGGTACCATGTTGATACTGCTGCTGAGAAGTTCATGAACCACGGTCGGTCATCAATGGCAGGTCATACACGCCAAAGGAGAATCAAAGACTACAGTTTCGACAGGGTGTCATTTTCTCGGCCTTGTGAATCGCTTGGAAAAGACTGTAAACGTGTATTTGTTGGTGACAAGGGCTGGTTCGACAAAAAAAAATTCAAGCAAGCTGTCAAGTTTCGCGGGCAGGCTCTTTTCATGTCAACATCGCATATATTCAGCAAGGGTGACAGGTCGTCTGTCTGCCATGTACCCACTAACTCCTTTTGTTCTACCCATCAGAACTATCATGTTTGGGTGAAGTCTGATGTAGATGGTAAGATTTACCTATCAAAAGAAGTTTTGAAGATCACTAAGAGAATTTGAAGTTTTTCTCTATTTTTAATCCTAAGGAATTTAAGCTGTTACTATAACCATGACTACTTTGTGTAATAAGTTTATCTAAAGAAAGATCTGATAGACTATTAATATGAATGTGCCATATATAGTCTATATACATATTATAATATATAATGGGTTCAGCCGAAGCTGATTAAATTTCGTTTTAAGAACCCAACTTACCAGACTTTAAAAGTATGCGTAATGCGTATTTGGCAATAATATTCTGTGATGTAGCATTCAAAGACCTTTATAAATCACAATTAATGCATCGAATAATATCTGAATTATGATAATATCCCAGTGATTTTAACATTTACGCTTACGTGAGATTGACAAGCAGTTAAACTCCAATTATTAATTAGTAGGTAATCGTAGTATTGTATTTTCATTTGTTCACCAGTTTTGCTGCTTCTTATTCATTTTCTCTGATGTCATACAGTGTAATATACAAAGATACAACGGAGAATACTATACGAATGGATTTATAGATTCATTTCTCTGGGATATTTCGTTATTTCTAGAGTAAAAAAATGTTGGTAAAAAATACGAAAAAATACGAAAAAATACGAACGCACCCCTAAAATTTGAAATTCGTATTCGTATTTTTTGTAGTTGGACCCCCCCCCCAACGTCACCGAGGTTAGTAAACATTGGTAAATAAAGTAACCTAAAGTGAGTAAATCACTCCTGTCTTAGTATCCTGTGGTGCATAAGATACGGTCACCCAGTATTTTACTGTTGGACTACACAGAATAGATAAGGTGACCCAGTATTTTACTGTTGGACTACACAGAATAGATAAGGTGACCCAGTATTTTACTGTTGGACTACACAGAATAGATAAGGTGACCCAGTATTTTACTGTTGGACTACACAGAATAGATAAGGTGACCCAGTATTTTACTGTTGGACTACACAGAATAGATAAGGTGACCCAGTATTTTACTGTTGGACTACACAGAATAGATAAGGTGACCCAGTATTTTACTGTTGGACTACACAGAATAGATAAGGTGACCCAGTATTTTACTGTTGGACTACACAGAATAGATAAGGTGACCCAGTATTTTACTGTTGGACTACACAGAATAGATAAGGTGACCCAGTATTTTACTGTTGGACTACACAGAATAGATAAGGTGACCCAGTATTTTACTGTTGGACTACACAGAATAGATAAGGTGACCCAGTATTTTACTGTTGGAATACACAGAATAGATAAGGTGACCCAGTATTTTACTGTTGGACTACACAGAATAGATAAGGTGACCCAGTATTTTACTGTTGGACTACACAGAATAGATAAGGTGACCCAGTATTTTACTGTTGGACTACACAGAATAGATAAGGTGACCCAGTATTTTACTGTTGGACTACACAGAATAGATAAGGTGACCCAGTATTTTACTGTTGGACTACACAGAATAGATAAGGTGACCCAGTATTTTACTGTTGGAATACACAGAATAGATAAGGTGACCCAGTATTTTACTGTTGGACTACACAGAATAGATAAGGTGACCCAGTATTTTACTGTTGGACTACACAGAATAGATAAGTTGACCCAGTATTTTACTGTTGGACTACACAGAATAGATAAGGTGACCCAGTATTTTACTGTTGGACTACACAGAATAGATAAGTTGACCCAGTATTTAACTGTTGGACTACACAGAATAGATAAGTTGACCCAGTATTTTACTGTTGGACTACACAGAATAGATAAGGTGACCCAGTATTTTACTGTTGGACTACACAGAATAGATAAGGTGACCCAGTATTTTACTGTTGGACTACACATTATAGATAAGGTGACCCAGTATTTTACTGTTGGACTACACAGAATAGATAAGGTGACCCAGTATTTTACTGTTGGACTACACAGAATAGATAAGGTGACCCAGTATTTTACTGTTGGACTACACATTTTAGATAAGGTGACCCAGTATTTTACTGTTGGACTACACAGAATAGATAAGGTGACCCAGTATTTTACTGTTGGACTACACAGAATAGATAAGGTGACCCAGTATTTTACTGTTGGACTACACAGAATAGATAAGGTGACCCAGTATTTTACTGTTGGACTACACAGAATAGATAAGGTGACCCAGTATTTTACTGTTGGACTACACAGAATAGATAAGGTGACCCAGTATTTTACTGTTGGACTACACAGAATAGATAAGGTGACCCAGTATTTTACTGTTGGAATACACAGAATAGATAAGGTGACCCAGTATTTTACTGTTGGACTACACAGAATAGATAAGGTGACCCAGTATTTTACTGTTGGACTACACAGAATAGATAAGGTGACCCAGTATTTTACTGTTGGACTACACAGAATAGATAAGGTGACCCAGTATTTTACTGTTGGACTACACAGAATAGATAAGTTGACCCAGTATTTTACTGTTGGACTACACAGAATAGATAAGGTGACCCAGTATTCTACTGTTGGACTACACAGAATAGATAAGTTGACCCAGTATTTAACTGTTGGACTACACAGAATAGATAAGGTGACCCAGTATTTTACTGTTGGACTACACAGAATAGATAAGGTGACCCAGTATTTTACTGTTGGACTACACAGAATAGATAAGGTGACCCAGTATTTTACTGTTGGACTACACATTATAGATAAGGTGACCCAGTATTTTACTGTTGGACTACACAGAATAGATAAGGTGACCCAGTATTTTACTGTTGGACTACACAGAATAGATAAGGTGACCCAGTATTTTACTGTTGGACTACACAGAATAGATAAGGTGACCCAGTATTTTACTGTTGGACTACACAGAATAGATAAGGTGACCCAGTATTTTACTGTTGGACTACACAGAATAGATAAGGTGACCCAGTATTTTACTGTTGGACTACACAGAATAGATAAGGTGACCCAGTATTTTACTGTTGGACTACACATTTTAGATAAGGTGACCCAGTATTTTACTGTTGGACTACACATTATAGATAAGGTGACCCAGTATTTTACTGTTGGACTACACATTATAGATAAGGTGACCCAGTATTTTACTGTTGGACTACACAGAATAGATAAGGTGACCCAGTATTTTACTGTTGGACTACACATTATAGATAAGGTGACCCAGTATTTTACTGTTGGACTACACATTATAGATAAGGTGACCCAGTATTTTACTGTTGGACTATAACACTGTACACATTATAGATAAGGTGACCCAGTATTTTACTGTT